AAAAAAATGAAATAACTGGGCTTCATTGAGATTGAGTAAATGATAAATAATCAAGAGGCATCTAAAAGGATTCTCTGCAGTATGTGTTCAGTGTAATTGAGATTAATATGTATTATTTTATGTATATTAGCTATATCTTATAAGGTAAAGCAGTACTTCAAGTTTTATCATGAGTGCAACAAGAAAACTACTATTTTCTTTTTATCCTTATTTCCTCCTAATAGTAGAAAATATTGCTTGGCTATTGTATAAGCTGTTCTGAGGATCTGTAGATTTGACCTATCATCAGCTACTTTCTCTGTTGTGAGAACTGTTACAACCTGACAGTCATCTGAAATTCCCAAAATGCTGATTGTCTTGTTAATAATTTTAGTGCAAATGAGATGAAATATTTCAGCCCACACATTTCTGGTACTGAGATGGTTGTGAAAATCTACAGGCCTGGAGCTTAATTACATATTTATGTAGCCTAAAGTAGCTTTTCAGATTTACTTGAGATTGGTTTGGGCTGTCAGAGACACTCCAGTGTATTGTTATCCATGTTTAGTTCCTCATAGTGACAGCAGGAGAAGAAACCTGGAGAATATAATTATCTGCTTTCAAGATTTCAGCCTTCCTGAGTTGCACAACCCAGGCAGATACCCAGTAGAAAATGAATTTTAAAAAAATTTCCTAAACAGGCCTCAATTTAAAGTTACTGAGAAAAATAATTTAATTGTCAGGATGTAAAGAAACCTGTGATCAATCCATGCTTGTGGTGTTCTAGTCTTAATACTGTGAGAAATTTAGGGTTAGGAATATCCTTGGAAGATAAATGAGGAAACAGTGATGACTCAAAAACTTGTGAGAAGATCATTTAGAGTGGTGTGGAAGGACACCTTCTTCTGAGGGAAACCTGAATTACCAATATGTGTTGAATATCTGACTAACCCAGCACACATCCTCAAGATGGTCCAGAGAGTCAGTAATGAACAGCTCAATGAAGCAGCCCTGATGAAAGCAAGGGGAATTTGGGGGTACCTTTCTTCCAAATCCAACTCTGCAACCTGTCAGT